CCTTTAAGGATCTGGTGTAGAGACCATCCCTAGCTGCTCCTCCCCGCCCCTCCAATTTGGACTCCACTGCAGTCCCAGGAGAAAAGGTTCAACCCCTCTCCTTAGACTCCCCTCCTTCCCCCTCATTTCCCTTCTAGACGCTGACAGAGGCAAAAATCTGCTAACTCAGTGGGCAGACTCAACCAGGGCTGCAAGCAGGCCTGGGGAATGACCCCCCGATCTCCACACAGCGCCTTCCACGGCTGCACGGCTCTCTCAAGCTGTCTCCACCACTGCTTCTGGCCCTGGCTCAGCCCCAGCCCCTTCCTTGTACCACATGGGCCCTATGTCTCCTGTCAGGACTTTGCGGCTTTGGGGGCCTCGGAGCCTGGGGGTAGCTCTGGGCATCTTCATGACCATCGGCTTTGGCCTCCAGCTCTGGGGGGGACCCTTCCAGAGGAGGTGAGTTCCCACCTTGTCTGATGGATGTCCCCTTCCCTCATGTGTTCCTCCTCATCCTACGTGGGGGTTGTGATTCTTGGGGACTCAGAGGAGCATCTGCACCTGCTTGCGTTTTGGTTTTTGTTTTTTTTTAAACAAAAAGTTACCTGTTCTAGCCAGCTGCTCGTGGCTCATGTCTGTAATCCTAACTACTCAGGAAGCTGAGATCTGAGGATCATGGCTCAAAACTAGCCAGAGCAAGAAAGTCCATAAGACTCTTGTCTCCAATTAACCACCGAAGAGTTGGAAATGAAGCTGTGTGCTGGTGGCCCATGCCTCTAAGCCTAACTATTTAGGAGGCTGAGATCTGAGGACTGAGGTTCAAATATAGCCTGGGGAGAAAAGTCTGCAAGCCTCTTATCTCCAATTAACCACAAAAAAACAGAAGTGGATCTGTGGCTCTAGTGGTAGAGCACTACCTTTGAGCATAAAAAAGCTCAAGGACAGCACCTAGGCTCAGAGTTCAAGCTCTAGGATCTGCATTTTGTTGTCTGTTGTTAGAAGTGAAGCTGTGGCTCAAGTGGAGTGCTAGCCTTGAATGAATAAGCTAAGGGGCAGTGCTCAGGCCCTGAGTTCAACTTCTAGTACCAGTACAGAAAAAAGTTACCTACTGGGCTAGGAAGGTGGCTCAGTGGTAGAGTGCTTGCTGGGTTTGATTCTTCAGCACCACATAAGCAGAAAAAGCTGGAAGTGGCACTGTAGCTCAAGTGGTAGAGGACTAGCCTTGAACTGAAGAGCTGAGGAAAGCACCCAGGCCCAGAGTTCAGGTCCCACCACTGACAAAAAAAAAAAAGTTACCTGCTCTGCTTGTGTGGAGGGATGCTTCACTTGCTCCTCTCGTATCTTCCCAGGCTCCCTGGGCTGCAGCTTCGACAGCCCTGGGCCCCATCCCTGGGACCAGACGTTCAATCCTGCATCCCTCGGCAGCACCTTGTGTTCCTGAAGACACACAAATCTGGAAGCAGCTCCGTGCTGAACCTGCTTCATCGCTATGGGGACCGACATGGGCTGAGCTTCGCCCTCCCTGCCCACTACCAGTTTGGCTACCCAAGACTTTTCCAGGCCTCTCGGGTCAAAGGCTACAATCCCCATGGTGGAGGTACCCAGCCCTCCTTCCACATCCTCTGTCACCATATGAGATTCAACTTGAAAGAGGTGAGGGGTGCAGTGGGTGGGAGCAGGTAAGGAAAGAGGTGCTCTGGCCTGGTGCCGGTGGCTCATGCCTCTAATCCTAGCTACTCAGGAGGCTGAGATCTGAAGATTGTGGTTCAAAGCCAGCCTGGGCAGGAAAGTCCATGAGACTCTGATCTCCAATTAGCCACCAGAAAACTGGAAGGGGCACTGTGGCTCAAGTGGTAGAGCGCTAGCCTTGAGCTGAAGAGCTGAGGGACAGTGCCCAGGCCCAGAGGTCAAGCCCCACAACCGGTGTGGGGGGAGGAGCTCTCAGGCCCCAGGCCCCATGACCAAGACCACCAGGAAAAGGATGGGAGGCCTAACACCCAGATCTTCCCTCCCTCTTCCAGGCATCATAGGAACCACAAATAGGGGATTCAATGTTGCTATCTCCACAGGTGTCCTTTGTCCAAGAGATTTCTAGAAGCCAGTCTTCCCTGCCTCCCTGTGTGGGATCAACTCCAGTCTCTTTCCTTGACTTCTTTCTCTAGAGTCAGTTCCCTTCCAGTCTTGAAGCCCCTCCCATCCCCTAGATCTTCCTCCACCTGACCTTCATGCTGTTCCCCTCCATGACGGTACCTCAGCCCTTGCTCCAAGACCAGTGTCCTCTCACTAGAGGCCTCACTACAGAGGCCAGGTGTCAGTTCTGTGCCAAGTCCTCAGCCAAGCACAGCAGAAGAGTAGGACAGAAAGCTGAGTGTGGTGGCCCAGCCCTGTAATCCTAGTACTTAGGCTGAAACAGGAGGAATTATGAGTTTGCAGCCAGCCTAGAGTACATAGTAAAACCTTGTCTCAAGCAAGAATAGTTGGGCAAGATTGGGCAGGGTGGCTCATGCCTTTATTCCCAACTGTTCAGGAGATAGAGATCAAGATTGAGGTTTGAGGCTGGGGGTGGGGAACAGGGAAACATTAGCAAAGTCCCATCTCAACAAATAAGACAAATGTGGGGAATCCTACCTGTAGTGTCAGTTACTTGGGAGGAATAGGTAGGAGGATCATTGTCTGAGACTAAACCCTGGCAAAAACATGAGATCTAAGCCATAGATCAAGTGGTAGAACACCTGTGCAGCAATTGAGATGAACATATGCACTCTCACCCTTCAGTGAAGACTTACTCCTTCCCTGCATGCACATATTTGCACAAAGGTATAACTCAGCCTGATTCCCACTGGCCTTGATAAGAAGTAGAATTCCAAGTCCAAACCTGAGGGCAGCATTCTACCAAATGGACAGAGCTCCCTAGTGCCCTAGTCCAAGTGTGGTGTGTGTGTGTGTGTGTGTGTGTGCGCGCGCGCGCGCACGCGCGCGCGCGCGTGCATGCACACATGTGCACCAATACTGGAATTTGAACTCAGGGCCTTGTGCTCTCCTTTAGCTTTTTTGCTCAAGGCTGGTGTTCTACTACTTGAGCCATCAAGATCCACTTCCAGTTTTTGGGTGGTTAATCAAAGCTAAGAATCTCCCACACTGGGATTCTCAGATCTCAGCTTCCTGAGTAGCTAGAATTACAGGTGTGAGCTACTGGCACCTGACTCAAAGTGAATCTTGTCGCTAGTTATGGAATCAGAGATTTCTCAGCAGGGCTGTCAGAAGACTGGAGGATCAGCAGGACCTTGATTTGCCTGGGCTTACTTTCTCAGTTATCATCTTATCTTTATTGTTCTTCCTCCCTATGTCTGCCTTCTCTCTTCTGCAGGTTCTTCAGGTCATGCCTCCAGACAGCTTTTTCTTCTCCATTGTCCGAGACCCAGCAGCTTTGGCCCGCTCAGCCTTTTCCTACTATAAATCCACCTCATCAGCCTTCCGCAAGGCACCATCTTTGGCTGCCTTCCTTGCTAATCCTCGAGCCTTCTACCGACCTGGTGCCCGTGGAGACCATTATGCCCGCAACTTACTATGGTTTGACTTTGGCTTGCCCTTCCCCCCAGAGATGAGGACCAAAGGAGGGAATCCCAATCTCCTTAAAGACTCCAACTCTCTCCATCTACATGTCTTACCTTCTGGTGCTGGCTCTAGAGCCCAAGTGCCAGATCCTAATGCTCTTTTCCAGCCTGTTCCCACAGTAGCTGATGGCCACAGCCAGCCAGCCAGCCCTGCCACTTTAGATTTGGAATCCTCATCCTTCATCCAATGGGGTCTAGCTTGGCTAGATTCTGTCTTTGACTTGGTCATGGTAGCTGAATACTTTGATGAATCATTGGTCCTGCTGGCAGATGCCCTGTGCTGGGGTCTGGATGATGTGGTAGGCTTCATGCACAATGCTCAGGCTGGAGGTGGACAGGGTCACAGTGCTGCCAGCAACAGTGAATTGACTCCTGATGATCGGCTGCTGACTGCACGTGCACGAGCCTGGAACAACTTAGACTGGGCTCTCTATCTCCACTTCAATCGTAGTCTCTGGGCACGGATAGAACAATTTGGTCAGAGAAAGCTTCAACGTGCTGTGGCAGAGCTCCGGGCACGAAGAGAGGCCTTGGCTAAACATTGCCTGGTGGGAGGTGAGGCTTTAGACCCCAAGTACATCACAGATCGTAAGCTCCGTCCCTTCCAGTTTGGATCCTCTAAGGTTTTGGGCTATGTACTTCAAAGTGGACTGAGCCCCCAAGACCAGGAAGAGTGTGAACGCTTGGCCACCCCCGAGCTACAGTACAAAGACAAGTTGGATGCCAAGCAGTTCCCCCCTACAGTCGCACAGACCCTCAAGACTTCAAGGCTACTTTCCCCATAGGCATCAGACTACAAAATATGCATGACACATGCGATAATCAACCGTGGAGGAGGCCAGAAGCAAGCTTTGCTTCTCTTGCAGGGGCTGAAACGTTGCAGGCCTCAGGCCTCAAGTCTTCTGGCCTTGGCCTGAGAATCACAGCAGCAACTCTCTCCAGGATGTCCATTTTGTTCCTTCACCTTCCCAACCCCGAAGGCAGGTCCATGTGGTGGTGCTCTTCAAAGCCCCCAGGAGGGGAAGAAAGATGGCGTGCCTCAGAGAAAGTTTGGGGCCTGGGGAATTGCAATGACACATCCATTTCCCTAGGAAGTGTTTGTTGTGTGCATTTCACTGTGAAATGTTTGTTGAATGAATAAATGACATGAAACGTTCATTTGATTTATATAGGGCAGAATAGGGAGGGATAGTGAATCTTCCTGGCAGAAGCGAGGTTGGAAAGGATTCCTTTAACTATTTAAAGGAAGCCAACCTGGCTTCTCTTTGCCTCCCAGACCCCGTTAACCTCCTCTACCCGCTACGCAGATTTCCCCGGCCACGCCCATCCGCTTCCGCTTCCTGTGTGTGTGTGTCTATCCAGTCATTCCGTCCCGCCCCTGGGTTCCGGTGTCTCCCGCTTTGGGTTCCGGGTTGGTTGCCCGGGTTTCCGGACCCGGCTGGTTTCTGGGGGCCGAGCGCTGCGGCCTTGGGGTGTCGTCCCGGCCTCGGCCCCGGCCCGGCCCGGCCCCGGCCCCCCCCATGGAGTCCCAATGCGATTACTCGATGTATTTCCCGGCCGTGCCGCTGCCGCCGCGCGCGGAGCTAGCAGGGGACCCGGGCCGGTACCGGGCGCTGCCCCGGCGTAACCATCTGTATTTGGGGGAGACCGTCCGCTTCCTGCTGGTGCTGCGTTGTCGGGGCGGCGCGGCGCCCGGCGCCGGGGGCAGCACGGGCCTGGGCTCCCGGGGGACCTGGGCGGAGCTGGCGACCGCCCTGGCTGCCCTGGCCTCGGTCAGCGCCGGAGGCGTGCTGCCAGGAGGAGGGGGCACCGGAGACCGGGACCCCGAGCCCCTCGGGGGAGGGGACCCCGGGGGCGGGGGCCTGTTCCGAGGCTGCAGCCCCCTTCTCACCCACGGCCCGGGCCCTGCTACCTCAGGGGGAGCGACCACGGTGAGGAGCTCGGGTGGACCCCCGGACGGGGCCGGGTAGTGGTTTGCTGGGAGCCAGAAACGGTTTGGGAGATGAACACTGGGAGCCTAGGTCAGGGGGCAGATGACAGCGGTGGGGTGGACACTGAGGACTGTCGGGCCCTGCAGGCTTTACTCCTCCTTTACTCCCTCTTGACCTCTTTGCCCAACTCCAGCTGCCTGTGGAGGAGCCGATTGTGTCCACAGATGAGGTCATCTTCCCACTTACGGTTTCACTGGATAGACTGCCTCCAGGGACACCCAAGGCCAAGGTAAGATGGGGAGGGAGGAGCTGCTGGCCTCATTCAGGCAGCCTTTAAGACTGGGCTCTTCACCTCCTCTTGACTTGGGAATGTGATCGGTGTCTCCTGTACTCAGATTGTAGTGACTGTATGGAAGCGTGAGGTTGAGGCACCAGAGGTCAGAGACCAAGGCTACCTGCGCTTACTGCAGACACGATCTCCTGGGGAGACCTTCCGGGGCGAGCAGAACACATTCAAGGCCCAAGGTGGGAAGGAGGCTGCAAATGGGAAAAGCTGGGGCCTGGGCTTTTGAAGGCAGAGTGGAGAGGCAATCTTGGAAGGTAATGGGATCCACATCAGACTTTTTTTTTTTTTTTGGCTCGGTCCTCTCTGCAGTGAGCACCCTACTGACACTGCTGCCCCCACCAGTTCTGAAATGCCGGCAGTTCACTGTGGCTGGCAAACATTTGACTGTGCTCAAGGGTGAGTGGACCCGCTGGCTTGATGCTCAGGGAGTTGCAAGGGGGTTGGGTGGCAGTTATTTGGGGGCAGTTTGGTAGAGATGGGTCAGTTTTCCTGGGCAAAGGTGGGGCCTGAAGGGTCTGGCTACTTTCTGAGCAGGACTGGTTACCTCCAACAGTGCTGAACAGCTCCTCCCAGGAGGAGATCTCCATCTGGGATATCCGAATCCTCCCCAACTTCAATGCCAATTATCTACCTGTCATGCCTGATGGCTCTGTGCTGCTGGTGGACAATGTCTGGTGAGATCATGGGAATGGGCAGGGCCATGAAGCCTTGGGGACAGGGACAGGAGCATAACAGGATCATGGCGTGCCCTCCTCTCTCCTAAACTAGTCACCAGTCTGGAGAAGTCTCCATGGGCTCCTTCTGCCGGCTCCCTAGTACCTCTGGCTGCTTCCCCTGTCCACTTAGTGCCCTGGAGGAACACAACTTCCTGTTTCAGCTGCGAGGGGGTGAACAGCCCCCTCCAGGGGCCAAGGAGGTGAGCACAAGGGGCTGAGATATTGCTGGGAAGAAGACAAGAAAAGGCAAGTGGGAGGGAAAGGCCAGGGAACTGTGATACATGAGAAGTCTGCCTTCGTGTGGTCCCTAGGGCCTCGAAGTTCCTCTGATTGCTGTGGTCCAGTGGTCCACCCCAAAGCTGCCCTTCACCCAGAGCATCTATACCCATTATCGGTGAGTGTGTGGCAGCCCCTGCCAGGCACCCTTCTGCTCACATCTCTGCCTAACACATCCAGCTTCCCTCTCTCCCTGCTCCCAGCCTGCCCAGCGTTCGCCTCGACCGCCCCTGCTTTGTGATGACCGCTTCTTGTGAGTCCCCTGTTCGGACCTATGAGCGTTTCACTGTCACCTACACACTGCTCAACAACCTCCAAGACTTCCTTGCTGTGAGGCTTGTGTGGACCCCGGAACATGCACAGGCTGGTGGGTCAGCTGCTGAGTTGGGACCTTGTCCCCGGGATGGGAGAGGAAGAGGAAGACAAGGAGATAGGGCAGTGAGAACAGGACAAATCGCCCCAGTAGGTGCTACATGGCTTTGCACTGGGGTAGTCTCCCCAGCATCACAGATGGAGTTAAGAGGCAGTTGGGTAGATTTGAAGGCAGACTGTAGATCTCTGCATTTATTTGTCATATCAACCTCTTAAGTCTTGGTCCTTATCTCTACTGTGGGGTAAATAACACATCATGGGTTATACACATCCCTGAATTAGTACAGACCTCAGCATACAGTATCAGCTACAGCCACCCTTAAACCCTTAGCAAAAGATAACATTTCCTCAGTTTATTCCACAGAATGGCTTTTGGATCTCCTTCAGCTGAGCTGGTAAAGGCGTGTGGGAGCTGAGGAAGGCTGTCCGGTGCTCATGGGTGCTATTTCTGCCCCCCCAGGCAAGCAGCTGTGTGAGGAGGAGCGCCGGGCCATGCAGGCAGCCCTGGACTCCATCGTCTGCCACACGCCCCTCAACAACCTCGGCTTCTCCAGGAAGGGCAGTGCCCTCACCTTCAGTGTGGCCTTCCAGGCCCTGAGGACAGGGCTCTTTGAGGTAGGCGAGCAGTCTGGGCCCCTTGCTTAGATGCAGGAAGTGTGACGGGTGGTACTAGAAGGCTGAGCAGAGGGAGCACCCCCCTGGGCCCATCCAGCGGGCAGATGATGTGAAGGTCTGGGCTGCACAGCCATCTGCCATACTCACCTGCATCTTCACACCTAGCTGAGCCAACACATGAAACTGAAGCTGCAATTCACCGCCAGTGTGTCCCACCCTCCGCCTGAGGCCCGGCCTCTCTCCCGAAAGAGCAGCCCCAGCAGCCCTGCAGTGCGGGACTTGGTGGAGAGGCACCAGGCCAGCCTAGGCCGCTCTCAGTCCTTCTCCCACCAGCAGCCTTCCCGCAGCCACCTCATGAGGTAGGAGTCAGGGAAGGCGTGGCACTGCTAGAGCGGAAGCTGGGAGCAGGGAGTGGGGAAGGGGGCAGAGTCTGAGCAGAGCCTACCATCTTTGCCCTCTCCCAGGTCAGGCAGTGTGATGGAGCGCAGGGCCATCACACCCCCTGTGGCCTCCCCTGTTGGCCGGCCCCTCTACCTGCCCCCGGACAAGGCTGTGCTATCTCTGGACAAGATTGCCAAGCGCGAGTGCAAGGTTCTGGTGGTGGAGCCCGTCAAGTAGTTTGACTTCCTGCACGCTCGCTCCAGAACCCCAAAGCCCCCGGAGGGCTCCTCACTTCCCAGGCCATGCCTCCTGCCATGGGGGAAAGCCTGTCTGTGTCTACTGATGAGGGATGGGGCAGAAGCTGTGAAGTAGCTGGGCCAGCGAGGCCAACAGTGTTCTCCTGAGGTCCTGTGGGGGGGCTGGCCCCACCCCAGGCAGGGCAGGGCTCCAAGAACTCCCTTGCCCCTGCCCTTCACCCCTCTTCTAAGTTTACAGAGTATTTTCCTCATTCCCATTACATTCTTCCCACCTCCGACATTCCCCCACCCACTCACAGGGCTGAGATTAGAGGGTGGTGATGGCAAAGGGACCCCGATAATAACCTCCTGCCTCAGGGGTCGGGGACACAGTTAGGTAGCCTCCTTCTGCCCTCATGTTTACGTTGGCAGCCTGAAGCACTTTAAGTTGTCCTTTTTTTTTTTTTTGGTCTGTCTCTGTAACTTATTCCAACTCCAGCTTCCAACTGAAATAAGACTATTAAATGCCTGTTCAGGAGGAAGAATGACTGTTATTCAATGTATTGATGGAGAAGGCAAACCATTCGGGGTCCCCTCACTCCCTTCCTGTTTTTCCAGTGCCCAGCATGGCCCTGTGCTCCATGCATTAAGATACAAAAACTGTCTCTTAAGAAAGAAGTTAAAAGATGCCTTTTGTTGTATCACAAACTTTATAATCCCAGCTACTTGAGAGATGAAGACAGGAAGATAGCAGTTCAAGCCTAATCTGGGCAAATGTTAGCAAGACCCCATCTCAAAAAACAAGCTGGATGCGTGGTGCATGCTATAATTTCACCTACCTGGGAGGTAGAGGTAGGAGGATGTCAGTTCAGGAAGAGTGTATGCAAAGTTAGCATCATCCCTGTGAGGTTCTATTTGAAAAACAAAAGGACTGGGCATCTGTCTCAGAGTGGTAGAGCACTTGCTAGTGGAGACCCCGGGTTCAGTCCCCAGTGCCACATGGGTAAAAAAGGTAGAAAACAGCCTGCCTCCCCACCCTCATCTCTGAGTCCAGGAACATCAATCAGACTCATGTTTATTAGGAGGGAGAAAGAGGGCAGAAATCTCTTTGCTTTTGTTCCCCTTAACCTCGGCCCATCGAGTGGGGTTGGGAAGGTGGGTGAACCGCAGGCCCTGGTTCTAGCAAGCTGAGAAAGAGGTGGAGTTTGCGGGTGCTCCTCATCCCTGAGGTCCACAGACTCAAGTCTGCTTGTCCAGCCCTCGCCCTCCAGCAAGCTCAGACATCAATGGGCTCCCGGCCTCGATTCTGCCTCTTCACCACAAACACTCTCTGTCCCGACACCGTCACCAGCAGCGTGTGTTCTCCGAAGACCACTGGAGGGGAGATATATTTTCCCCCGGCCCGGGAGAAGAGCACAGCATCAGTGGGTGTCATGGCCTCCTTTGGGTCATGCAGAAACTGGGTGGGCTCAAAGGTAGAGACTGGACGAGAGGCCACTGAAATCTTCCTCCTCATCCTTATTTACTTCTGATATTGGGGGGCTACCAAAGGGAAGAAAGTAGGGAGCCAGGGGCCCCAGGAAGAGTTGGTGGGAGCCAATGGGAATCAAGTTTGTTTTGTTTCTAAGCAAAGAAGCCTCTGGAACACCCTGCACACACACACCTGGGGCAGGGGCTGGGACTCACCAGACAGGCGCTTGAAGGGGACATTCGTGCCACGATGCAGGCGGAAACCGCAGGCCGTGCTGACCAGCTCAGATATGGCACTGGCTGCCTGCTCATCATTCTCCAGATCCCCAGAGGACTGCATAGGGAGGGAGGTGTGGAAATGAGGGCGGGTGCTGGGAAGGAATCCCAGCCCAGGCCCTCTGGTTGTCAACACAGGTTCATCCTCCAGTAGCCCCAGGTCACCTAAAACATGTTCCCTACCATCCTCAATACTACCTTCCTCTGCTGAGTAGCAACCTATCCAGCTCTTTACTCTCTTCCATGAGGTATACTTGCCTGAGTGTCTGCCCCCTACTGGCACACTTCACACTTGCTGCCCAGACTGCAGACTTGTAAACATAAATATCCCCTTGTTCTTGGGATGACTATAGACCAGGCTTCCTTTTTTCTGGTGAGTGCCTCAACTTCCTCTCCCTACTTCTTTAAGTAGATGAAGTTCCCTTTCTCTTTGTTCTCAGACATCTGTGTATTGGGAAGAACAATACCTGTCTTGAGCTTGCTGTGAAAGCTGTGTGAGACAATAAAAAGGGTGACCTAAGGACACCTATATAACTACTACATTCTACCTCAAGCTCAGCAGCCATCAAAATTTCCCTATCCATCTTCCCAAACAACTTCCTCTCTTCATTTCTATATTTTTCTAGGCTTCTCACTTCAAAGACCCACTAGATGAAGAAGTACCTACAGAAGTACCTTGATCTAGCCCTTACCAAGATAACATTATTCCTATTTTAAAATTTCTTTTTGGGGGGGCATGGGGAGGGGGACAGTCCAGGGGCTTAAACTCTATACCTGGGCTCTGTCCCTGAGCTTCTTTTTTTTTTTTGGCCAGTCCTGGGGCTTGAACTCAGCATGGGTGCTGTCCCTGAGCTTCTTGTGCTCAAGGCTAGTGCTCTACTACAGCAACACTTCCAGCTCTTTCTGAGTAGTTTATTGGAGATAAACGTCTCACAGACTTTTCTGCCTGGGCTGACTTGGAACTGTGATCCTCAGATCCTGAACTATTTTTGCTCAAGGTTAGCACTTGAGTGACAGCACCATTTCCAGTTTTTTTCTGAGTAGTTTATTGGAGATAGAGTCTCACGGGGCTGGGAATGTGGGTTAGTGGTAGAGTGCTTGCCTAGCATACATTGAAGCCCTGGGTTTGATTCCTCAGTACCACACATAAACAGAAAAAGTCAGAAATGGCACTGTGGCTCAAGTGGTAGAGTGCTAACCTTGAGCAAAAGAAGCTCAGAGATAGTGCTCAAGCTCTGAGTTCAAGCCCCAGGACTGGAAAAAAAAAAATGGGGCTGGGAAGGTGGTTCAGTGGTCGAGCGCTTGCCTTGCATGCCTGAGGCCCTGGGTTCGAATCCTCGGCACCACATAAGCAAAAAGAAAAAAGCCAGAAGTGGCACTGTGGCTCAAGTGGTAGAGCGCTAGCCTTGAGCTGAAGAGCTGAGGGACAGTGCCCAGGCCCAGAGTTCATGCCCCATGACCAGACCCCCCCCCCAAAAAAAAAAGAGTCTCATGGACTTTTCTGCCTAGGCTGGCTTCTAACCATAACCCTCTGATCTTAGCTTCCTGAGTAGCAGGATTACAGGCATGGGCCACCAGTATCTAGCTTAAAATTTCTTCTTTTGCTCTTCACTGAGACCACACTAATTTCTTTCACAGCTCCTTCTAGTCCATCTCTATGTCACTAATAACGATCTTATTCAACCCTTTATCTCAGTCACACTTCTGCTGTTAAACAACAACAACAGCAGAAAGAAAAAACCTTCAAAGTTCCTATTATGGTTGGGGATTTAGCTCAGTGGAAGAGCACTTGCCTGGCAAGTGCAAGGCCCTGAGTTTAGTCCTTAGCTTTGAAAAACAAAATGCTCCTATTACTTTCAATACGTGTGTGTGTGTGTGTGTGTGTGTGTGTGTGTGTACGTACGCGGCATGCCTTAGTAGTGGGGCTTGAACTCAGGACGTGGGCACTGTCCCTGAGCTGCTCTACTTAAGACTAGCCCTCTATCACTTTGAGTGGCAGCTCCCGTTCCAGCTTCTTGGTGGTTAATCGGAGATGGAGTCTCATAAACTTTACTGTCAGGGCTGGTTTTGAACTGTGACCCTCACATCTCAGCCTCCTGAGTAGTTAGTTTTATAGGCTTGAGCAGCACGCAGCCGGATACACATAAAAATTTTAAAAGGCATACTGGAGAAGGGTTATCAACAAACTGGTAAGGAAGGAGGAGTCGTATGACAAGTACTACAGTTAACAATCCTTTCACCTCTGGTTATGGGACCGGGAACTTAAAGAGAGGCGAAAGCACAGACAAACCGGGGGGGGGGGGGGGGGGGGTGCGGCAAGGCCGGGCGGGGCTCCCGGCCCCCCCCCCCCCCTCCCCGTCCCGGGACGCACCGCCAGCACCGCGCCCTCGCTCAGCACCAGGTAACCCAGCTGGTCCGGGATCCGCTCCAGCCCCTGGGTCAGCGCGGAAGTCTGATGGGCGAAAGCAGGAGAGTGAGAACGCCGAGTCCCCCGGCGATGGCCTGCAGCACCCCCGCTCCCTCACCACCCCGGGCCCCTCAGCTTTCCGCTTCCCACCCGGAGACCCTCCAGGCCCCGCTCGCTCTCCGAACCCCTCGATTACCCCTCGGCCCTCCGCGGCGCCAACCCTGCCATCTCCAGCCCCTCGCCGTCCCAGGGCGGACGGGGGGAGGGGGGACAGGGCAGTGCAGGCCTCGCGAAGACAACCAGAGATTGGGGACCAGGGACGCGGAACCCCCGACGCGTACTCCCGCGCATGCGTCCTCACTCACCATCTCGGCCTCGGTTGCTGGGGCAGCGCCTTACCAGATAGGTAGCTTCCGCTAACAAACCTGGGTCACGTGCTCACAGCAGGCCGTCCGGGTCGCCAATACGCTGCCTGCCCTAAGCCACGCCCCTAGCATGCCGATTGGACTGTAGCTACGTCGTTTGACAGAGTAAGCCAATAAGAAGCAACCACTGCGGGAGGCACTCGTGGATTGGTTGCACCTCCCCGTCCCTCAGTTTCAGAGCTGCGGAGCGTCACTGAGCGCCGGGCCTGAGTGGGCGAGGCTATGGCTGTGCGCCTGCGCATGAAAGGCCTCCTACCCTAGACAACCTATTGGTGTAAATTCAGGGGTGTCCCCTCCACTTGTGCATCGTGAAACGAGAGACTGACATAAAATAATCTTGAAATGCTAAAGCTGTACAAATGCTACTCATTTCTACCCAAAGCACAAAGCTTTCCCAAAGTGAATTTTGTCACCTAAATTTGCTGAAAATAAAGGTGAATTGAGTCCCTGGCTAGAAATGCTGAATGTTTCCTAAGAGGAAAAAAATATTTTAAGTTGTCTTGCTGTCATTTTCATTATATATAAAAGCATCACAAAATGTATTTACACACAGGAATTGTGTGTTGTTGGTTTTTTTTTTGCAAATAGGGTTTGAAGTCAGGGCTTTGAGTTTGCTCAACTTCAGCCATGTCTCTAGTCTGTTTTTGTTGTTGTCTTGTAGGTAGTGGGGCTTGAACTCAGAGCCTGGGCACTGTCCCTGAGCTTCTTTTACTCAAGGTTAGCACACTATCACTCGAGCCAGAGAACCACTTCCAGCTTTTTCTATTTATGTCGTATTGAGGACTCAAACCCAGGGCTTCATGCATACTAGGAAAGCACTTTACCACTAAGCCACATTCCCAGCCCCTCTTTACCACTTTGAGCTACAGCTCCAATTCCAG